GTGTGTGTGTGTGTGTGTGTGTGTGTGTGTGGTCGTGCACACATTAGATGTCTTAGCACTCAGAGGACAGGCAGGAGGAGCTCAAGGCCAGCCTGGGCTACATAGCCGAGTACTGAACTGCCAGGTCTACATAGCAAGGTCTTTTCTTCCCCTAAAGCTAAACAAATGAAAAAAGAAAATCCATTTAAGTCATCTTTACTGATCACTCTGTCATACATGCAAGAGTTAACTGCAAGTTATATACTTCATGATGTTAATTCTGAAAGCTGAAACAATTAATTCTGAGTAAATGGGAAAAGTAATGAAATGGCTGATTTCTTATACCTTACACAGATCCATTGAATGGCTCTAAATCAGCATGCTGACTTTAATAAATTAATGTCGGTGACTGAACACCAAAAGCACACAAGACTTCTGTCTGGACGGAGGGACAGATACTTTGATGCCAAGACTTAGGCAGAAAAAGAGGTGACAGTACAGAATTATGTTCCTGATGTAGAGATGTGTACAGATCAAAACTGCATCTTTCCACGCTATGTCCCTAATTACACACTGACTGAAACCCTAACTACCTGTGCTTTCACCTAACCTGAGTACACTCAGCCAGAGTCTTCAGGTGTGTATTAGCCACCTTTTCTCTTCACCATAAACTTATCAAAAAAAACCAAAAAACTACCGACGTCCTTCTCAGGATAAGAGCTGAGAGCGGTTCTTAGGTCAGGACAGTAGGAAACAGAGAGAGTGATGGGTGCAAGAGGTACAGGGGACTCTGGGTTTCTTCCTACCAAGATTTACATTTTAAATCTTTTTCAAAGGATAGTACAAAAGCAAAACAAAACCAAACCCACATTACTTTAAAAGCAGCGTTTTGGAGCTGGAGGGATGGCCTGGTGATTAAGCACACTGGCTGCCCTAGCAGAGGACCCAGCTTTGATTCCCAGCACCCATTTAGTAGCTCAGAGCCGCTGTCCCTCCAGCGCCCTCTGGAGGCTCCCCAGGCACTGCACACACGTGGTACACAGACTACGTGGCAGCAGAACAGCCACACATGTGAAATTAACAACTCGAAATGAGACGAGTGGGGTTTATTTACACCACATCCATCACCTTCCCAAGCTTCGCATCTTTGGTTTATGTCTGCAATATGGTTAAAGGCCCAGATTATCAACTTCTCTGTGTACTCAGGACATACTTACCACACTTTCAAGAAATATATTTTAAGTAAAAAATTGAATTTGTTAACCACTTTAAGTATAAATATAGCAGTTATAGAAATTCTTTTTTTAGCAAAGGGAATTAAGTGCTACTTACTTGCAGTGAGCATCACCATGGGCACTGTACGTCCGTGGGGCCACTGTGGACGGGCAAGCTCAGAGAAGCCCACACTCTCCTGCCCTGTGCCTGGCGAGCGACACTAAAGACTTGAGGCTCAGCTGCTCCACTAAACAATCCCAACGTCCAAACCCATCATTTCTCAGTGGTTTATTTCTATTCCCACCTCTGTCAGCTCCTGGGATGTTCTAATTCCTTCAACTTTTGGAACTCTCTCTAGCTAAGGAGGGGAAAGAACTGCAGGGTTCCTAAGCAAATCAAGTCCTCCCCCCTCAGATCACTGGTTTGTCAAAGTGATTTTGATTGTCAAAGTTTATTTTGTTTTGTGTCTTCTATCATTTGCTAAGCTCTAAGTGAATACCTACTATGTGCCACACATAGTACTAAGCACTAAGAACACAGTGATGAGTAGACCACCTCTGCATTTATAAATCTTCCAACCAAAGTCTGATCTGCAGCTTTATGGCTTTTCTGGGAACAGACATATGTTGGGATCAGTATTTCTCCTACTGGTGTCAATCTTATTCTATGGATTGTGAGATCATTTGCCAAAGATTGGAGACTAGAAGCTGGAGGAGTAGCCAGTGGCTGGTAAAGTGGATGGTACGTATTAATGAAGAACTGAGTTTGGACCCCCAACACTCACATCATGGCCGACATTCACATCATGGCCAGGCACAAGAGCGTGCATTTGCAATCCCAGCACTGGGAGGTAGAGACAAATGGATTCCTAGAGTTCACTGGAGGGTTGCTGAGAACTCAGTGGATCCAGGTGCTGATGCCAAGCCTGATGGCCTGGATTTGATCCCCAGGGCCCATGTGGTGAAGAGAAAGGACCAACTCCCACAAACTCTCTGACCTCTGACCTCAACGTGAGTGCTACACACACACATGCCTCCCACCCCCACCTACAAAACAAATAAATGCAAAACATAAAAGTAAAAACCTAAGACACCCAATGGTGACTTCTGGCCTCCATGTACAAGCATGTGGACACACAAACCACACAAACATGTACACGCACACTCAAAAAAGCAGGTGTGAGGCTAGGTAAGAGGAATAATTATTGATAATTAATACACCTTAAAAATACATTCCTTCATAAGCAGCCTCTAAGTTCTTCTGTGAAGGTGAATGGTGAAGATTAACAATTAATGAAAAGAAACTCTTTCTATGCTCCTGTAAACACAACATTTCTACTTTATTTGTGGAAGGATCAGGTGAGCTGCCCGAACTGCAGGGTTATTTAGGTGACCGGGCAGATTACTGTGTCCCAGGGGCAGGAATGTTCTTTTAGGGGAAAAATACTTTGAGAGAAATACATGCATGTTTAATAGACTCAGTGCTGACAAAAATAAGAAGAAAGAAAGGAAGGAAGGAAGGAAGGAAGGAAGGAAGGAAGGAAGGAAGGAAGGAAGGAAGGAAGGAAGGAAGGGAAGGAAAAAAGAAAGAAGAACAATTCAAATGATTGTTTCTGGTTTAGAACAAAGATACTGAGAGTCACTTGGAGGGAGCAAAAGCAATCTTTGACTGCAAACGGCAAGCTAATGTAAGGAATAGCTCACCTCCAAAACTGCTTGTTTTTAAAAGCTATGAAAAAGTTCGTTTTTTGGTGTTAAAAAAAAAGAGGTATTTTACCTGCTATATTTTCTTTTTATATAATACCCCAGGAAAACTGATATTAGTAAGAACCAAAGGCCATACATTTTATATATTGTAATTATTCTTCTTAATTACAAATCTATTCACCTCAATTTTTTCAATATAAATTTATACAGACTTGCCTTATGTAAAACCTTATGCTGGAGGCACATAGTGTCAGTCCATGGTGACTGCCAGGACCTTGTCCCCAGGAGCTCAGAGCACGGTGAGAGTCAGAGAACTAGTACTTTTGAGACAAGGA